ATTATTGATCTTCTGTCTTTTTGTCTCAACGCCACATACTTTGTGTTTGAGGGCTGTTATTATCAACAGGTTTTTGGAACAGCGATATTCGATATTCTGCTGCAACATTTAAATTCTATTGAGCCGTCCATCCAATTCACGGTAAAACGTGAAATAAATGGACATTTAGCTTTTTTAGATTTGAATGTACACAGAACTGTCGAAGGGAAGTTAGAGACTGATGTTTATCGCAAACCCACACACACAGACAAATACTTGTCATACGACTCTCATCACCCAGTAAGCCATAAAAGATCCGTAGCAAAAACTTTGCTTCAAAGAGCTGAATCGTTGCCCTCAAACAGTGATTCTCAAGCTAATGAACGTGAATATGTTCTAAATGTTTTAGGGGGAAACAATTACCCAAAGCGTTTTCTTAATGATTGCCTGAGACCACCTATTTGTAGGAACCAAAATAACTCCGAGGGTGATACCTCTGTTAAGGGTTTTGCAATAGTTCCATACATTCAAGGTGTCACAGAACCAATCAAGAGAATCTTAAGTAATTGTAATATTAAGGTTGCCTTAAAACCCTATTTGACCTTAGGCCATATTTTCGCAAAGCCAAAAGATCCTGTTGAAAAATATCAGAAGACTCATGCTATATATTCTATACCATGCGGTGACTGCGATAAAGAGTATTTGGGTCAGTCTAAACGCCAGTTTGGTACACGGCTAAAAGAACATCAAAAGGCTGTTTCAACTTTAGACAAGGGAAAATCAGCTTTAGCCGAACATGTATGTTACACCAAACACGAGATTGCGTGGGAAAACTCTAAAGTAATTACCACAAACAATCGCTATGGTCAAAGACTTTGCCTAGAAGCGTGGCATATTAATATGAGTCATCATGCTTTGAATAGGGATGACGGTGCCTATTTGCCAGAGGAATATATGCATCTTCTTCGCAGGTGACGTCATCCCTTGGGTATTTAAGAAGCCACGATTGCAATTTTAGATCACCCTGATGAAGACACTAGACTGGAGTGTCGAAACGTTGGGTCTTGATTACAATTCGACTGGGCTTTGTAATCATTTATTTAAACCAGAGTAGCGAGCGAAACATGATTGATATACCTGGTTGCAGTGAACGAACAAACTTTATAACTATATCAATGTTTCGATTTATCGACACCATGTGACTGTTTCAGTTTTCGAGACCGTGTGAAATGTGAATGTTTCGAGTTATCGAGACCAAGTCAATGTTTCGATTTATCGAGACCATGTGAATGTTTCGATTTATCGAAACCATGTGAATATTTCGATTTATCGAGACCAAGTCAATGTTTCGATTTATCGAGACTATGTCAATGTTTCGATTTATCGAAGACAATGTCATTGTTCGATTTATCGAGACCATGTCAATGTTTCGATTTATCGAGACTATGCCAATGTTTCGATTTATCGAGACCATGTCAATGTTTCGATTTATCGAGACCATGTCAATGTTTCGATTTATCGAGACCATGTCAATGTTTCGATTTATCGAAACCATCTTAGTGACATCTAACATAACCTAAATCAACACAATTTAGCAAGAAATAATATTCTATTCAATTTAGCATTATACACATACATAAATAGAAAATATATAAAGCACAATGTATTTAGGTGAAAACTATTATGCTGAATATCAAAATGATATATACGGTATTTAAATAAATTCACAAATAAACTATTAATAAGATTCAACCCCTTAATGAAATATAACCTTATACAGGGATGGATTTACTGGGGGTGCACACCCCCTAGCCCTGGCCAATGGGGGTGCAGGGGTGGTGGTATTTTTATGATAAAGCAAAAAAGACAAAATGAGATACAGTAATTTGAGTAATAATAACATGAGGATAAGTGAACTGTGAACAACAATTACAATTCAAATACAGTAGTTGATGGTCGGGCGGCACACATGACCGTCACAACACGGCAGTCGGCACCAGAGCACCCCCCCCCCCCTACCAGATCATGCTGGATCCATCCCTGGCCTTATATGCTGTTAGATAGAGTAATATAATGAAAAGGCAGTAGGCAAGTAGGGCACATTGAAGTTTTGTACTGTAATGCTCCTCAAAATGTAAGACAGTAAACCTAGATGAATGTAAATATCACATTTATTACCATTTAGACTGCAAATGGTAATGTAAATTAGCTGTGCCGAGCTCTGCGCTTATTACATTACTCTGTCCAGTACAAGGTGACTTTACAGTGTGTTTTTTTATATAAACAATACTAAAATGTTCTTCAACAATGAGTTCGTCATCTAGCATGTAGTGTCAGTATATATTTTCTTTTCCTTATGCAAGTCAAAGGCTACAAGAAATATACAACCTGGCAAACATCTGCCCAAGGTTAATTTTTATCAGCCAATGAAACGACCATTTCTTGCTGATGATTCCTTCCGATAATGAATCTTGAATGAAGATCATCTAGCGTCACCAATGAATGATTTGTTACATATAGCCCTTGTCAACATAATCCTAAGGAGGAATTGACATTATTAATGAATGGTGATTATGGGAAGCACTACGTATTTTCATAAAGCACACAATGGTAATTCTACTTTTCGATTATATTTTAGTCATCCTCAGCAATGGATCAAATTAGACACATTGATAACAGTGCCTTGTATATCCTAGTTGCAGTTAGCTTTTTCTTAATGATGCTATGCCTATTGATAGAACACCGATAATTCTCACAATGCTTTCATTAAAACTCATTAAGTTGCAGACTGTTGCAACATTGGCACTCCCCAAGTTGCAAGGAAAATGGCGAATTGTAGTTTCTGTCAACTTCTGTCAACTGCTTTTGCAAAAATACCCATATCTCAAGATCAATGTTATAAAAAACCTTGAAATTTGGCAGTGGATTAAAATGATAAATGATTAATCAATTCTATTTTAAATGAGCTCCCACACTTAAATATATCATTAGATTTTTGGGAATTCTTGGATTGTGTAAATTTAAGTCCCTGACATTTTGTTTCTTCATGACACCCAACATCTGAAGGGCAATAATTCAATAACCCAATATAAATGGACAAATATTTTTTGATTCCTGGATTGGTACACATTTATATTCAAATTAGTTTTCATCTTGTAAGGTATAAATTACAAAATAATGAAACGCTATAAGAATTTGCTTGGGCATAGCTCAGGCATACTCAGGACATCTAGTTTACAATGGAGAACTTGAACTTCAGAACTTCTTGTTCAAGTTCAGAAACTCTGCAACCCAAAAACACAGTGTTTGTACCTCTTTGAAGTTTTTAAATACCTCAAGTATGTATGTTTGGAAAAACACGAAGTACAAAAATTACTAATTAAAATATAAACAAAGGATCAAAACGTGAGAAAATTTTAAAATATTTGAGGTGTTTTCAATTCTGACTTTGACAGCCAGCATTTTCAAACGCAGCGTGTGGTGACAAAACAAAAGGCTTTTTATTTCGCTATTAAGAGCACTGAAAGTCGTAAAAAAGAGATAAACACTTTTGAATATTCATGAGGTAAGAATTTTTACTGAAATTCCTTTTGTTTCTGTTGAGAAAACAACGGATTTGTGGCTAAAACGTTGTGCGCGCCAATATAGGTTGCTGTAAAATGTCTGCAGACAGGCGGTTTCTTTCAAAATCTGACTCCAGTTTGAAATCTGACTCTAGCTTGAAATAAGTCCTTTTCAAAGACCAATTGTATAAAAATATAATATGCATGCTCAAATAAAAAGAATAATCTAATATTTAGGCATTTTAGATTGCTATAAAAGTGTGAAATAAAGTATTTCGTCTTTGGTTGTTTGTCAGAAGAGAATAAACACATTGGTGACACTTTGTTGCGCATGCAGTTTTCAAAAGATAAACTGCTAAAAATATAGCTTTTATTTCACCAAATAGCAAAGTATCTTGCAGATATTATTAAAAGAGCTCAAGCGAAGTAATTCCATCATAAATAAGTGAACAATGAGACCAAAAAAGCGACGAAATTACAATTTTGGAAAGTACATTAATTTAATGGCTTCCCGCAAAAGAAGCCATTTCAGAGGAGAACGTCATTTTGTAAACCACTGTCCTGACCTATTTTAGAACTTTTCCTTCAGGGAATCGACGAGTACTTCTTAGAAAATGAGCGTACATTAATTTTATGATGTGCTTTATTGATTTAAAAATTTTATGGAGATATCATGGCCAGAAATGGAGTCCAACATGGCTGCCAAGCATGCGCATTTTGCCTCAAGATAAAATTTCAAAATGGCGTCTTCTTGTATAATTTGAATGGGAATAACGTAAAATTAGTATTTTTGACAACTTACGGTTGAGAAATCCAAAATGTGCACGTCTAAATCTTCACCGATTTTGTCAAACTTTTATCTGTAAAAAATTGGGTACGACTCGAGTTGTCTAAGTATGTTCCCGAGCAATCAATATATTTGTCTATAGTCTCGTATAGGAAAGTATGTGATTTCGACATATTAGGTATTTTGCAGGTCCAATTTCAACTTGTTCTTCGCAGATATTGTCAAATGTGCACGTCTGAATTGCTTCGTACACTATTCCTCTTTATTATTGTCACTTGTATGAAGGGTAAAGTATACACTAGTTTGTTCCCCAAAGCGATGAAATGCATGTACTTTGTACAGAGGCGTTTGTCCAGTTGTGATGAGAAATACACCATATTTTGAACAAAAATATCACAAATTTCGCACCAAAAGTTATATTTCTTGTCCGCCATTGCTTTTATAAAGCTGTTGCTACGTTACAATGGTTTTAACCGCTGTCAATATAGGCTGCAGTCTCGTAAACATCCTAAAATTGGCGGGATTTCGCGGTAAATTTGATTTTCAACTTGAAAACGAATATAACTATTGGTAAACTTTTGAAATTTGAGCATCGATCAAGGCTCGGTTGGCGTAAAGTCTGTTATATTTTATAATTTTGCTTGTTTTCTATATATTTGGCTGTATTTGCAATGTCGGACGTTCCGCCTTTGTGCTCTATGCATACTTATTTGCAATGGAAATTAAGTGTTGAAAGCCATTCATTAGCATATGCTGCTAAAGCTACAACCAAAGATATATTGTTCGCTGTGGATATTCCTTTCCCACTACTGAGAGCCTGGTACAACCTAGTGGTGTTGAAAAAGCCCTTCCAGACATCCTGCACCTGTGATCCTAAGAAAATAGGCATCAACTTGCCCTCAAATTTTCCACAGTTTACATATATCGAGTTGTTTGAATTTGCAATTCCTGGTAATTCATTTGGTCTTACACATGATCAAGTTGTGCGGTCAGAAATAAATAACTCTCTTCGGGTTATGGCGGCAAAAGTGTATGTAGAGTATGGCAAAAATAGGGGGAGGAAAAGACAACAACTAGATTTAAAGGCCAAAAGGTTCCATATATTTGATGGACAAACTATTTCAATTAAGCAACTTGAGGAAGAAAACACACTTATTCATGGCGAGATGCAAAAGTGGAAGGAAAGAAACAGCAACTTGGAGTCGGAAATGAGGAAACTATATTATGAAATGGGGAGGGCATTGGAAGAAAAGGATGAGAAAATTGAAAAGCTAGAAACAAAAAATAAAAAATTGAAACAATATATTGAACTTCTAGAAAAATCTGAAAAGATGGAACACCAAGGAAAAGATATCTCTGAAACAAAGAAAAAGTCAAGGACGCTCAAAAAATGTTTGTCACGAGCTGAAACTGCTTTATGGTTCGCAAGATCTTTTGGACTGGAATTGAAAAGTGTAAATGTTAAAGAAATCAACTCTGGTATTGCTCATAATTTAATGATGGAAAACAATGTTACTGGTAGCACAGAGAATACTGGATTTGATGCCCTCTCAGAGGATGATAAGGCTAAGGTAGAAAAAGTTCTGTTTCTCTTGGATAAGTTCTGTGTGGGCGATGCTTTTTGCCATGAGATAACCATGCTGGTAGATGGCTTGCCAAAGTCATATTTAATTAAGCAAAGAAGAAGCCAACTTGATAAAATGTACCATATAACCTCAACACCCGGGGAAGACCATGGAGCACAACTTCCATTCAAGGAATTGTTACAAAATAGAATAAAGGAATATTTAATTACTCACCCCAATGCTGCAAAAAAACAATGAAACAATTAAAGTTAAAATTTCTGGAGATGGAGCACAAATGACTAGAACATCAAATTTTATTTTGATGAGCTTTGCTCTTTTGGAATCTACAGATGATATTTTGGCAGCGAAAGGAAATCACACCATAGCGGTTGTAAAGGGCAAAGAAGATTATGCTGTATTAAAAAATTGTTTCAAAGATGTATTGAGTGACATAAATGACATGGTAAGAGAAAAGAAAATAGATCTGGGGGAAGATATAGTAAATTTAGAGTTCTTTCTTGGTGGGGATTATAAATTAATATTGCTTATGATGGGTCTTAGTGGTGCCACATCAAACCATGCCTGCGCTTGGTGCAAAATCCACAAAGATGAGAGGTGGAACATGGCTTACGACTTGAACCACTACAACTCACCACCCCTTAAGCGTACAATAAAAGAAATGAAAGAATTAGCAGGGAAAAAAACAATTTCTGTTGTGTGAATCCCCCCCTAATAGATATTGATTTGGACCATGTGATACTAGATGAATTGCATTTGCTATTAAGAATCATGGATGTTTTGATTAATAATTTGGTTACTGAAGCTGTACATTGGGACCAGCAAGATAACTGGACCAAGAGAAAGAAGGACCAAACAACAAAACATTTAGATAAATTAAAAAATACAATTAGATCTTGTGGGGTCACATTTGAAATTTGGGAAAAATCCAATGCAGATGGCAAAAGATCTGGCCAATATGACTTTACTAGTTTATTGGGGCCTGACAAGAAAAAATTATTGAAGGAACTTCCTGAGAAGCTCACAGGTTTGGTCCGTCCAGAAGCTGAACATGATGTGAGAAGCCTCTGGCTTAAATTTTCCATAATATATTCCATAGTCACTTGCAAAACACCCTCACAAGACATGATTGGGAACATTTTTTGTAAAGTACAGGAATGGATTAATCTTTTTGTTTCTCTAGGAAACACATACATCGGTTACAGAAGATGCAATGTCACACCCTACATGCATGCCATGGTTTACCATTTACCAAAATTTTTAGAAACCTACAAAACTGTAAACCTATTTAGTGGTCAAGGTGTTGAGAAAATTAATGACGTAGCCAGAAGCATAGTGTTAAGAAAATCAAATAATTGGGATGCCGCTGCAGACGTTTTGAAACTTGAGTCAAGGCAATTGGACCTAAGAGAGAAAGAACGTATAAAAAGATCATACACTAAAAAAAATAGCCAGTACTGGGAACATGAGCTTGAAGAAGAAAGAAAAAAGAGAAGAAAAACATTAATATGACATGGAAAACATTTCAGTCTGCAGGCAAGTTCCAACATTCAAAATTTCACAATACAATATAGATAGTTTTGAAGTGCACCTGACCAGAAACAACCTGTCTTAAACTGTATAACGGGTCATTCCATTGGAGATTCATACTCCCCACACCAAGGAAACCACTGCCTTCTACAGTGTGTGTGTGTGTTGGGGGGGGGGGGGGGTGTTGAGGGTTAATATAAAAATTCTTCTACGGGGGAAGTATGAATTTTTTCTGGAATGCCAAATAATATTAAAAATTGAATCTAACGGTAAATGAACAAATGGACAAGCACAAAGTCCCGGTGCATCTCAAAACATTTTTAGGCACAGTTATTAAGTAAGAGTTATAAACCGAGAACGTGGGATGTAAGTCATATATTTGACTTACTGTATATACAGTAGTTATATCCCAAGTTCAAGGTTTATAACTGACTTATTTTCTAGTTGAGAAGGTTTTCCAACAAGATTTCATTAATTTCAAAGTCCATCCATCAAGATTTTTCGAGTTTTGTCAACAAGATTAATCTAAATACAGGTTATAACCTGTATACGTCCCACGGTATATGAAAGAAAACCGACTCAACTAGAAAATAATC